CCATGACCTGTAGCTCTTTAGCACGCGCGTGCCCCTTAGTTTAAGTTTAGTTTTAACTCTTTTATATTCGCCTTTTCCCCTCTAAAGGCCGGTAAAGTGTCCGGTTCCCACCTTTACGGTTTTTCTGCTCGGAGAGGAAACTGCTCGGACTGAAGTGTCACCGACAGAAGAGACGCGTTCCTGCGCGTGGAGCCGATAATCCACTTCCGGTGTCACTTTCACAATAAAAGGTCCGAGCAACAGGTTATTCCTGAGTTACGAGATTTAAAAAAAAACTCACTGGTTTGATCCTGATTTAAGAAATTAGAAAAAAAAACACACTGGTTAGATCCTGATTTAAGAAATTAGAAAAAATAACACACAGGTTAGATCCTGATTTTAGAGATTATGAAAAAAATACACTAGTTAGATTCTGGTTTAAGAAATGAAAAAAAAACAGGTTAAATCCTGATTTTAGAGTTTAAATAAAATTAAAAAAACACACAGGTTATATCCTGATTTAAGAAATTAGGAAAAAAATACACTAGTTAGATCCTGGTTTAAGAAATGAGAAAGAAAACAGGTTAAATCCTGATTTTAGAGATTAAAATAAATAAAAAATACCATACTGGTTAGATCCTGATTTAATAGATTACATTAAAAAAAACACACAGGTTAGATCCTAATTTAAAAAATGAGAAAAAAAACAACTAGATATATCCTGATTTAAGAAATGTGAAGAAAAAAAACACCACACTGGTTAGATCCTGATTTAAGGAATTAAAGAAACAACTCTGATTGGATCCTGATTTAAGAGATTAAATCAAATAAAAAAAAACACCACTCTGGTTAGATCATAATTCCTGTTTCTTGCATGTCTTCTGTCCTTTGAAAGAAGACGAAACTCCATGAAAACTTTTAGAAAAGCTTCTTAAGCATGGCAGCAAATTAGGAGAACTTTACTGTTATTATTTAAAAAAATAGCTCTTTTTTTATAGTGCCGTTTACAGCAATAAGGCTGAAAACACCAAAACAAGGCAGCCACCACCGTGCTTCACAATGGGGACGGTGTCCAAGGGCTGAAAACTCCTTCTTTTTTAAACAAAATGAAGAATCCCATCATTATGGCCAAGTAGTTTAATTTTTAATGTGGGAGCCATCTTGCATTTTTACTTTGAGTAGTGGTAATTTGTTTATTATGAATTTGTTTACATTAGTGATAGTTTCATATTTTGGTAATATTCTTTTTGCAATTCGTCTAGTTAATTGCTTTGCTTTATGTTTAGTCTTTATTTGGTAAATTTTATTAATTGTAGTAAAAGGCAATGAAAAGGCAGATAAATTAGCTAAAAGGGCTTTAGAGGGGGAAATAACTATTTCAATTCCTTTTGGGAAAGGGGAAGGAAAATCACTTATTAAAAGTAAAGAAATGGAGGAATGGCAAAAAATATGGAATACCTACTTAAATGACATACTTTATTTAATAGGGAGAAAAAATAGTGATAAATGTGAGAGATGTGGAGAAAAAGAAAATGTAGAACATATACTGATGAACTGTAAGTCATATGAACTCGAAAGGGAAGAATTAAAGAGAATAGTTAGAAGTATAGGGCATGAATGGAATCTTAAAGGTATATTAGGAAATGAAGGAAACATAACAGATATTCATAAATTAAGGAAAGCATTGTTTATCTACCTTAAGAATACAAAATTAAATCATTTTCTTGCCTGCGTACGATACCTGCCCAGGGTGCCAGAAGTTGTCGTTTGTTTTATTTTAAGTTTAATTTAATTTTCGTTAAAAGTTTGTTTGACAAACGGCTACTACATTTAGTTTAATCTGACGTGTTAGAAATGAGTTATTTTGCGACTGTATTAAATATACAGAAAAATGAGGAAGAAGATCCAAAGGAAATCAGATGTTAGTGTTTTATTGAAGTTTAACCAGATCTGAAGTATCCAGTATCCACTACAGTTAGCAGGTGTTAGCTTAATATCCTTTATACTGACAAGATTTTGATTTAATATAGAGATATTCATATTAAAACTACATGCTAAAACACTTTCAGATGAATCCCGTAATCATAAAGAGCCAAAAAACAAAAAACCTTCCCCTCCAGGCCTAAAACTTCCCCCTTTTGAGTGTTTGTTTCCAGGGGAAACCTTTTGGCTGCACACCTGGGGTCAATTTCATATTAAAACTCATATTAAAACTACCTGCTAAAACCCCTTTCAGTCAATTAGCTTTATGATTAATACCAGAACACACCAAACACAGTAGTGTATACATATTTTAACATTTTTAACTACTTTTTTTTTTATTTTTACCATCAATTCCCTCCTCACTTACCTCCTTTCTTCCATTGAGTTGTTTTACTGAAGTCCTCCCCAGATCTGAAGTATCCAGGGCTACTACAGTTAGCAAGTGTTAGCTTTTCTGATGTAAAAATGTAAAAACAAACCCTTATACCGTCAAGATTTTGATTTAAAATAGAGATATTCATATTAAAACTACATGCTAAAACCCCTAAAGATGAGTTCCTCCTCACAGAAAACTTGAGTGTTTGTTTCCAGGGGAAACTATTTGACTTTGTCTGATTAATTCATGCATTGAGTTGATGTAATCTTACATATTAGATCATTTTTTACCACTTTTTTTTAATTTTTACTATCAATTCCCTCCTCACTTTCCTCCTTTCCTCCGTTCAGCTGTTAGTGTTTTACTGAAGTCCTCCATTTAAAAAGCACCTTAAACAGTTTCTTAAAAGTTCCCAGTCATGCAATCACTAATTTTATTATTGTAATGTCATCGTCTGAACGTGTCTTGACTGATTTTGTTAAGGACGACAGATGTAAATTAGCAACTATGCTAGAATCTGGCTCATTTACAATCTGTACTAAAGTGTAAGATTGTTTATTAATGAGCACTGTCCTGATTAAATAAATAAATGAATAGATAAATAAATATTCATATTAAAACTACATGCTAAAACCCCTAAAGATTTATTCCTCCTCACAGAACCTATGTTGAGTGTTTGTTTCCAGGGGGAATCTTTTGGCTGCGCACCTGGATTCAGGTAGAGCTGCACCTACCCATTTCCACCACAAGGGGGCATCGAAGCTTTTTATTGGTCCAGATCAGTAATCCCCAAACACCAGACTGTAAACTGTAACCAGTCCT